AAAGGGTTCTGAAGAACCTAGGGGCAGGACAGGAATAAAGACGCAGACGCAGAGAATGGACTTGAGGACATGGGGAGGGGGAAGGGGAAGCTGGGATGAAGTGAGAGAGTGGCGTGGACATATATACACTACCAAACGTAAAACAGATAGCTAGTGGGAAGCAGCCGCATAGCACAGGGAGATCAGCTCGCTGCTTTGTGACCCCCTAGAGGGGTGGGATAGGGAGGGTGGGAGGGAGGGAGACACAAGAGGGAAGAGATATGGGAACATATGTATATGTATAACTGATTCACTTTGTTATAAAGCAGAAACTAACACATCATTGTAAAGCAATTGTACTCCAATATAGATGTTAAAAAAATAAAAATTATTTAAGGAAAAAATAAAAAGATAAAAAAATAAAAATTGTTGAATGATGGATTAAAGGGTATATACAAAGGGCAACCATGAAGAACAAACCCAGGCCACACAAATGGGTCAAATCAATTTGATTGCTGGAGAGGTATTTAAAATTCACAACTAACTCATTTTATTTGCTATTAATTTATAGTCTAATAAAACAATCTTGTTAAAAATGCTGTGTTCTTTTCATACTGTTGGGATACCTCTTTAAAGTTCAAGTGGCTTTCCAAACTGAGACCTCTTCATTATTTCCTGAATACTTACTCAATACCTACTAAGGGCACAGTACTAAACCCAGGGCTGACAGGGTACAGAGTGAGCCAGAGGAGTCTGCCCTCAAGGAAATTTCACAGACAGGGGCGAGGGAGGTGCGGGGGGAAGATCCCAGGTAGAAAGGGAGCTCCAAATTATATAGAATCACACTAAGTGAGTACTAATACCAGAACTTGGAAATTCTACTCCACAGGCCGCTTGATTTCCCTTAGAAATTCCCTGCACCAGCTCTGACTGCCCTAGTGAGTGACGGGACAGTTCACCTTAGCCTGACTCTGCTCCAGGTGACGATTCTCCTTCTCCTCTGCCTCTTGCTTGATGCTGCAGGAGCCCAGCCCATCGGAGGTCATCTTTCCAAGCCACTGGATGTTTGTCAAGCTGTTGTCTAGCGTGCAGCCGGCTGCCTCGCCGCCAGCTACAGGGGAAAAAAACCCAAGACGCCGCTTAGCTGCCTGATCCCGAGCCCAGCAGGCCCGGTGAAGTTGGCAGTTAGGGATCACCTCTGCCCTTAGGGACAGGGAACACGTGCTGACTCTACTGTGGCCTCTCAGGTACTCTGCCCCATTAGGATTTCGGGAGAAATTCAGGAGCACGGTTCAAGCTGCATTTCAGTCTGAGCCACACTGAGCCTTAGAGCTCAATCAACCTTATAAAAGCATGACTGAGCATCTCAACAAAGAAAGTCACTTTTCCTCCTCATGCTTTCTCCTTCATTAGACGGAGAAAGATTCCTATTTCCTCATGTGGTCAGTGCAGGGGATAACTAGAAACGATAAACAAATCCTTTTCCAATGTAAAGAAGGGAGTAGAAATGCTAAATTACATTGCAACCCCTTTGACAGTGCCCAAAGGATCCGGGTCAAAGTTTTAGGATGAAGAAAGGCAAGACTTTCCCCCGGTTCGGGCAGACGCCTGTGTGTCCTAAGCATCAATGTGGCGGACTGCAGTCCTCACCACCAGAGAGGGAAGGCTAGCTCCTCAGCCCTTTGCCTTACAGACCACATACCACAGTTCTCCCATCTCTGCCCGGGAAGGGCTCCAGGTGGTCTAGGAAGATTCACATCCTTGGATGCAGACTTTGGTCCCAGGGTCTCGGTGATCACTTCTGTCCTCTTGGGATCATTGCTGGCTTGGGCTTGAGGCTGGGGTCCTGGCGGGCGAGTGGGGGCTCCGCCGCAGCTGATGAGGATGAATTTATTGGGCCCACTGCTGCCACTCTCCTTTCCTTTGGCAGTCAGCGCTGTGATGATGCTCTGGACATTGGCATTCTTGGGGACGGCCACCACTTGCGTGTTGGGCATGGTCGGGTGGTTAATCATCTTGATCCCGGCTGGAAACTTGCAGGGGTTGGACTCTGCCACCTCCTTGGAGGCCTGCTGTTGAGCAGGCTCTTGTTGGGCAGGGGGCCTCTTAGGCTCCTCTTCTGATGTGTCACCTGGGGCATTCTGAACAGGAAGGGGCAGCCTCCGTCTTTTGAGAATCAGTGGCCGACGGGGGCTGGTTTTCATTATGAATCTGTGCTTTCACTCTCCATTGAGAATGACAAGCATGGACCCTGGAAAGTGCAAGGGGCAGCAGGAGGTCAGAGGTTTATTAGGCTGAGAAGGAGGTTCTGTTACGGAGGGGGCTTCCTCATCCCATGACCAGGAGCACGAGCCCACAGGCCCAGGTGAATACTCCTTGGGGCTTTGTAAAGACCACAGACAATAAGGAGATGAGTTCTACCGACAAAAGTTAAAACTGAAGCAAACAGAAGAAATTCAAAGGGGGAAAGTGGGATTAGGTTGGCTGTAGGTCAACATAGTCAAAGCTCTAGGAGCTTAAGAATGTTTTGGGAATTCCCTGGCGGTCCAGTGGTTAGGACTTGGTGCTTTCACTGCCGAGGGTGAGGGTTCAATCCCTGGTCAGGGAACTAAGACGCCACAAGCCACGCGGTGTGGCCAAAAAAGAATGTTTAGCTACAGAAATAAATAGGGAAGCTACAAAAATGTGGAAATGTCTCTTATTTCCTACTGTAACACAGATCCCTTGCAGTGACTATTGGGACGGGAATGCTGGAATAGGACATCCTGACAAGACTCTGATCCCATAATCCATTCTAGCATAGACCACATATTTTTTACACCATCTTACTTTATAAATTAAAGGATCTGAGCCCACAAAATCAGAGGAAAAAGGCAGATTATACCATTATTGTCACACCACTGAAGAAATCATCTTCCAGCTCACAAGACCTCAGATAAGAGGGAAACTGCTCTACTCAAGGCCCAGGGTAACGCTAAGGGGTGACATCATTTCACAGGCTATTATCCTTGCCCTTCTTAAAAAAAAAAAACACACACACATTTTTCTTTTACAATTTGCAAACTATTTATATAGTGACATTTTAGTACTTGCATGTGCTTATTCATATTTTGACTTTCTAAGCATGTGACTGTATCGCTTAATTTCTCTTCCAGAACCAAGACTGTTATCCCTGTCTCCTGACTAACAGACTGTGCTATCTTCAGTGTGCTAAGGTGGTTTTGTAGCGTTAAGGAAAACTGTTTTATCTTTTAAAAATTGTGTTTTTTTATTTTAACAGATCTGTGGAATACTCTACCATTGTGTAAAGTTGTGAAATTCTACTGAGAGGTACTCTGAGGGACAGAGGAATGGGCTGTCCCTTTTTTAGGATATCTGCCTTCTCCCTATTTGACTGCCACACTCGCCTGACATTTGCCATCGGCTTAGAATCCACAGACCCTCTCCACTCTGCCCCCTTTTCCTGTATATCTAGGTTTCCTCTACCTTCAAATCTCAGTTTTACTTCCACCTCCTATCTCTTCCGGCCTCCCTCCCTCCACCCATCAATCAGTAGATACTAGTATTCGCTCCCCACCCGCAAAAGATAACTTCCTGGTCTAAAGCTTAATTTTCCCTTCTACTCTGACCAGCCTCTTGCTACCACTGCCAACACTTTCTAGCCCGGAGACTTCCGGAGCAGCTCCCGGGACTCACCCACATCCAGACCAGGGCTAGGCTGCGAGGGTCTCCGGAACCCGGAGGAGGGTCCTGGGAAAGGACGGAGTGGAGGCCTAGAGGTGAGAGCAACGGGGTTCAGGGGAGTGTGCGAGCAGGTCGGCCTTGGCTCCCAGCGCAGTAAGCTCAGAGGGACCCCAGCCGCCGTCTGCCGGAGCAAGCGGGCCGCCCCTCCTCCCGGGGGAAGGCCGGGGGCGTTCAGCGGGAGAGGTGAGGAGGGCCGGGAGGCGGGATGCAGCAGCGCCGCGCACCGTCGCCAGCCCCATCCGGAGCCAGCCCTCCGCGCACTCCCGGCCCCGGCCTCTCGCACGCCGCCCACTCACCTCGCTTGCACCGCCGGACACGCCGGCTCCGGGCGGCTCCGCGCTGCTCCCACCGGCAGGCCGGGCAGCGACCCCGGCTGCGGGGCGGGGAATCCCGG